TTTAGCTAACCTTGCTAACCAACAGTCTTTCTGAAGGAAATACTCCTTTTGTCACAAATTTTGCATTTTGCCGATATTTCGTTATTTTTAGAAAAGTGAAGCCACACTTTGGACCGCCGACGTAAGCTACTCATGTTCGACTTGCGCGGTTATGCCAACACTTCCGGTAGACGCTTCTTCGTTGGTGTTGTTCAGTGGTTTCTTCTTCCGGTCGGCGGACTTTGAATATCGAAACCAGGAATCGAAATTTTAACTTTTGAACGATTCCGGGAAAAATGAAAAGTTAGTCCCGGTTCCAATCGATACTCGATTCTCGATACCCAACCCTAGTGGTCAACTCTCTGACTGAAGTTGCCCGGGTCCCGTGACTGTAAAATAAGCCCGATCCTCAGCCCTTCACCACACTGTTCAAACCGAAGCCGTGCCTGCCTGTTCTTTTCAGAGAGAAGAAGCTTTCTCTTGCAACCTTTCCTGGGAAATTTGCTGGGACGTCCAACAACCGTTTTCCACTTGTGAATAGCCTTCCTCACTGTATGATGATGGACTTGAATTTGTTTGGAAATGACCCTGTAATCGTTCCCACTTCCCAGATTGATGGGCAGGAACAATTGCTTCTCTAAGATCATTGCTGATGTCTTTCCTCCTTGGTATTGTGTTAACACACACCTGAAACTGCTTTTATAGAGTTGGTCACGCTTGCTGATGTTCAATTAATCAAAGACCTTTGATCAGCAGAGCCTGTCTGATACTAACCCTCTTCATTCCTATGAAAGCAGTAAGTGTGTACTTAGTTTGTCACACATGATGGCTTCTCTATGTTGGCCTAGTTTTTGTTAAATAAACAATGACACAGTGTAATATGTCATGTGTTGTTGTTCATGTGAGGTTATATTTACCTAATATTAAGACCTGCCAAGGACCGGATGATTTTTATTATGCCGTGATACACACAGTATATATATATATATATATATATATATACATGAATAATAATAGAGAGAGTTTAGAGAGCTTCATGCACGTTGTTATATATATATATATATATATATATATATGGTCACCTTCATCAGTTTGGCACTGTGGAGAATCTTCTTTCCTGGAAGGAGTCATTCCACCAGATCCATTACTAAGTTTTCCCTGGAAAACACATCATCATCTTGTTCTCTTCTTTTTTAACTCTGTGCTTCCCCTCATTATCTCTCCTTCCAGTTGTGTAACAGAGCCGTCTGTGTCCATCCTGTGCATCACAAAATAGCTCTGCTGCCATGTGGCCACTCCACTTCTCTTTCCTCACTTCACCTATTTGCATTTCAAAGGCAAACGGCGGGTATTTTTGTGCCCGGACGCTCAGAGCCAAGAGCCCAATGATTCAGCTTGATTTTTAACTGGTCCCATATTACGGCTTGATACGAAAATTGAGCAAACCCTTTCTCAGAACCCAGAGCCTTTTTTATGAGGAATATGACCAGGCTGACTAAAGCATTATGTGCTAATGTTGGACGTTTTTAGTGATTTTTGCCATCTGAGACTAAATTTGTAGATTGAGATTTGTTTTCAAAGCAAAAAAAAAAGTCTAAATCTTATATGCTGACTTTCCAGCAGAGATAACTTTGGTCACTTTACCTGTCAGTCAGGTGGCCTCTTCCTAGACGCCAAATGAAACAGTTATATACCATCAGTCAAATGTCTGGATATCACATTATATATCAGGTGACAACAGCTAAAGAAAGAGATTTGTTGGAAGAAAAAAAAAATCTCAGTTGATTACATAATCGGGTGTTTCTTCACATTTAGCAATTCCTTTTTGTTATATGAAGATCACATTGAAACTTCCTTTTTTACCATCAATAATTTTTCAAATGCCTTTTCATTACTTTACCCATGGCCCAGTATTGCAATATTAAACTATGAAAATCCATCATAAAAATACACACCGTTACATCTTTAAAAACTGGTGTTATATTCTAAACAAATTGAGAAATACCTTTTTTTTTGATTATGTGAAAATTTTTCAATTTTTTGGTGGTGTCATTTCCACCACGCCGAACAAGTTTGCACATAACATTTATTTTATTTTTTTTTATTTTTTTTTTGCCAAATTATGCTATATATATATATATATATATATATATATAAGATACATTATAAATTCTCATTACTCTCATTAATTATAAATTACTCACCATATAAGATAAAAAGAAATCTGCAACAGTATCTATTAAACACAGATTTGAGATGGTGGAAATGGCCAATGTAATGGGATTTTTACTTGATTTTTGGGGAAAATTACACACAAAAAAAATACAGAATTCTACTGAAAATTCATGAACAAAACTGTATTTACACATTGTTAGTGAGCAAAGAAAAATAAATGCATTAAGTGTAAAAAGTGTGTTTTAAAAGGGCAAAAAGTACCCAATAGCGGCTGCCACAAAAGTTAGTTCGAAAAAAATCTTTGCCGGGAAACTCATTTACTAATAATAGCACAAAGACTTGCTTTTGTTTACTGAACACCTTTTCATCGCATCCATGCGCAAAACTGAAATCAATGCAAACATGTTCCGCAGTCCGCCATGCGCTTTACCCAATCACACTGGCGTCGTTACAGTCTTGACAAGCAAAAATCATTTAGTGTACAACCGGCTCAAGAGGCATTGAAGAAAGGAAGGTTGGAGGAAATATACGAGAGAGAAGGAGAAGGCTCTGTCCAATCAGACATTGAACGCATCATTGCCACACACACAAACTGCCTCTAAATAAAGCATGACATGATGCAGAGCTTCTATCTCTCACTTTCTGGAACTTTCCCCAGAAGGGTCAGATAAGTACGCCGAGCATTGAGGGAAAACATTGTGGAGGAGAAAAGAAAAGAGTGAGGGAGGAAGAGCACAAGGGTGTCATCCACGTCTGGTGGTCTGGACATCATCTTACATAACTGTCTGGCTTCAGCTCAGTGACATGAGAACCTATAGCACTAATGACGCTAATGCGCTTTGACAGACTACATAGAGCCTGGGATTCTGTTGGGACACACGCCAGACTTTGAGTGGCATTCGGAGTCTCATGAGCGGAACCGAACAACAAAGAAAGATGCCAACTCAGGCACATCATCTGTTTTCATGTACATTTGCTTTCATCTTCAACCACACATAATTCAGTAGATTAAAACAATAGTTTACCAAAAATGAAACGACTGTCATCATGTACTCGCCCTCGTGTCATCTCGAACCTTTATGATTTCGTTTATCCATGGAGCCCGGGACTGAAATTTGAGAATAACCTGGACACTGTTCGTCTCATAATGAAAATGAAATGGGACAGATCAGCAAACTAAAAAAAAAAAAAAAGCATGCGCAACATTATCCAAATGACGTGTAGCATTACGGTAGTTTCAAATTGATGAGGTTTGGTCACGGGACAATGACTTTTGATGGGTTTTGTGGTTGATGTTTTGAGAGATACTGCATAATTTCAGGAGTATAATGGCATTAATTGTATTTTTGTATGAGTTTGTGTATTGTGTGAGTTGCATGTCTGCTTTGAAACAATCTATTTTGTATAAAGCGCTGTACTAGAAATAAGGGTGAATAATAACACCTTTATGCCACTTTTATGGTGTTTTTTTTTTTGTCCTTTGTAAGCTTGACAGCCCCTGTCCCCTTTTATATTAATTATATATATGGAAAAGAATATTCTTCGAAAAATCACCGTTTGCATTTCTGAGAAAAAAACACAACTACTTTATTCTCGATATTTAATGAGTTTATTCTCAAGATTGTATTTCGACTTTTTTTCTCTAAATTTGACGAGTTTTTTCTCGAAACACGACTTTATTCTCGATATTTAATAAGTTAATTCTCAAGATTGTATTTTGACTTTTTTTCTTGAAATTAAACGAGTTTTTTTCTTGAAACACAACGACTTTATTCTCGATATTTAATGAGTTTATTCTCAAGATTGTATTTCGACTTTTTTCTCAAAATTTAACGAGTTTCTCGAAACACAATGACTTTATTCTCGATATTTAATGAGTTAATTCTCAAGATTGTATTTCGACTTTTTTTCTCGAAATTTGACGTTTTTTCTCGAAACACGACTTTATTCTCGATATTTAATAAGTTAATTCTCAAGATTGTATTTAGACTTTTTTTCTTGAAATTTAACAAGTTTTTTTCTTGAAACACAACGACTTTATTCTCGATATTTAATGAGTTAATTCTCAAGATTGTATTTCGACTTTTTTCTCAAAATTTAACAAGTTTCTCTAAACACAACTACTTTATTCTTGATATTTAATGAGTTTATTCTCAAGATTGTATTTAGACTTTTTTTCTCGAAATTTAACAAGTTTTTTTTTCTCTAAACACAACTACTTTATTCTTGATATTTAATACGTTTATTCTCAAGATTGTATTTAGACTTTTTTTCTCTAAATTTAACGAGTTTTTTTCTTGAAACACGACTTTATTCTCGATATTTAATGAGTTTATTCTCAAGATTGTATTTACTTTTTTTCTCTAAATTTAACAAGTTATTTTCTCTAAACACAACTACTTTATTCTTGATATTTAATAAGTTTATTCTCAAGATTGTATTTAGACTTTTTTTCTCTAAATTTAACGAGTTTTTTAACTCTCTAAGACTGATAACTCAGTCTTCAGTGTCACATGATCAATCAAAAGTATTCATTCTAATACACTGATTTGCTGCTCAGGATAGATTTTGTATTATTATCAATGTTGAAAGCAGTTGCACTGCATCATATTTCTGTGGAAACCGTGATACGTGTTTTCAAGGTTCGTAAATCTTGAGTCATCGTGTCTTGTCAGTTCAACCTCGTTTTTGTTGGGTAAACTCATGTTAAAAGGAAAGTCAAAGGTAAGATGGCAAATTTGTGTGGTCTTTGAGAAGACAGTAAGTTAATAGCTTCAAGAAAAGGAGTGTAAAAACAGGGCATGAGTAATTGTCTCTGGCTCACGTTCCTTTGTCTCCATTCCCAGGTTGCTCACAATGGCCTTATTCTGGAAATGGACCACCCAACATCGGGAAGGATAGCAGTGCCAGGTTTGTATAGAATTTGCTGAAGTGCAAAACATTCCTGCAGTCCTTCATTCAGATCACTTTTAAGCACCTATTTCCGAGGTGGAACTGAGATGTGGTATTCTTGCATATCGGGAACACATCCTGTTTCTGGAATAGTTTGTGCAAAAAATAATTATTTTATTACATTATTCAAAACATGTATGCAACTTCTTTACTGCAACATAAAAGGAAGAACATGTTCTATATAGAATCTCATAGGGGTATCAGTCATGGGATCATTTTATCGATTTAGTTGTAATAAATTTTGATATTTAATTTTGATTTACATTTAATAAATAAAACAGCTCATAAACATACTTCATCACTAAAAAAAATATAATAACTTGAAAAATGAACATTTTTTTTTACAATGCAAAGACATTTCTCCTGACATAGAACCTTTTTGGCATAAAGAGTTCTTTAAAATTGAGTTAAGAGTTTTGTATATTCCAAGTCTTCTGAACCAAACGGGTTTACAACAACATAAGGTTGATGTAAGTAAAGGCATAATTTTGATTTTTGGGTGAACTCTTCCCTTAACCTCTTTACACTTGAACTTTCAATTGCTTTTCTATACTATTGTGGGACAACAATCACCTATCAGCCATCCCTTGACACTCTCATCATCCAGATCCTTAGATTTTGAAGAGGTCTACTTCCCTCTGCGACTCTCTTGTATCGAACATTTATTTTGATGTTTTGTTTTGACTTGTCTTTGTCCGTTCAATGAAGTAAAGGTTTCCCTGGTGACTCAAAAATCACCCCATGCTCTTTCATTCTTCGGTGTGAGAGTCCCAGGGAGACGTTTTCTAAACTCGTCTTTTCGTTTGATCATCCACATATTTAAAACGAGCCATCATTGATCCCCACAACGGACAGGTCTGCGGTCTGGTGAGCTTTTTGCCCCTAGAAAACAATGTTGAACGGAAAGACGACATTTTAGAAAGGTTAAATGCAGATGTTAGCTGTCGCCAAGAAAATGTACAATGTCATTTTTCTCTCAACAACTCGATTCCCGCTGTTTTCGTGGTACTTCAAATGTCATATCCTGATGGACTCACTCCAGGCCTGTGGTTTTACTAACAGTAAATTTAGTTGCTGTTTGCAGCTCTGTAAACACACAAGTACATGAATGACCCCTGTTAATGATCAATGCTTTTTCCCTTCAGTGGCTAAAAAGCAAAAACTGGCAGGAGAGGACCGCTAATGGTATTGTCATGGCTATTTGGTTAATCCATTTGTCTATGCATACAAAGAGTCCTTAACCCTCTGGGGACTAAAGCCCATTTTGGTCCATTTTCTCTATTTTTACATTTGGGCTTATAAACCATATGTAATGGAGATGGAACACCATGCGTTTGGTATCTATGGATTCAGAAGACCCTAAGCTAGCATGGAATGTTTTTCTAAAGGTATAAGTGAAACATGTACAATAAACTAGAGAATTTCAAAAATGAAAATTTAAAAAATTATTTTTGCCATTTATTACTGAAAATGACACCTCACAAAACAATAGTGAACAGTTTTTGAACAAAAAAATTGTAATAGACATTTGTAATTTTTAGGGGTGCACGATATATCGAATCAATATCGTTATCGCGATATCACGTTGCTCGATATAAATATCGAAAGTCTTGCGATATTTGTGCAATATTTTGTTTATGGTGCGTCCGTCACGTGCGTGCATTTCCCCCGATTCATTTCCTGATACTCCTTCTCCATAAACAACATGAAATCAAGGAGAGGTTTAACTTACTTTTCATGCTACAGATTTCCCACAGTGGTCAGAAAGAACAGGGGAGACACTTTGTTTTTCTCAAGAGTCGCTATTCGCTTCAAAGCTAATCGCCGTCACTCTCTCACTAGGCCTACATTTTACATATGTGGTTTATTCAATAACGAGATGCATTAACGAAACTTGTCCAGTTTCGTCTGGAATGCGGCCCAGACCTCCTCCTGAAGTGGTTTGAGTGATTAATTTCAAACACGTCACAAATTTACACCTACACCTGGTTGTAAATTTGCATTTACACCTGGTCTTTTCACGATCAGATAGCTGTCCGGTCAAAGAAAACTTTTACACTGTAGTGTAGGCCTACACAACTAGTAAAACATGTCCTGTTCTGTAGACATGGTTATTATTTATATATTCATGCTGTACCAGTCCAATATGACTGTCAGTTGAAGTAAACCTTATGTTGTAAGAATTTTTTTTTTCTTTTTTTATTTATTAATCTTTTTTTGATGTGTTTTCCTATAACTTTTGTAGTTTTACAAATCCATTTAAAAATATCGAAATTAATATCCATATCGCAATATTCATTATCGATATCGCAATATCACATTTTTGTCAATATCGTGCACCCCTAGTAATTTTTCAATCAAAAGTAAAATATTTCATGATCTGTGAAAAAGCTGTTAGCTTCGGATTTCTCCTCGTCACTTTCCAGTAACTGTTCCAGAGTTTGTTCTGAGTTAATTCTTTTACTGCTTGCCATCATAAAATTGCTAAAACAATAAGATAATAATGCTATAATTGCTATTATACTATATATCTTGAAACTTTCAGGTTTATAAATGGGGGTCATCTTTGAAGGATGAACAAATAATGTTTTGGTCGTCACATTACAAATAACATTTAAATATACTGTATATATATTTATTTATATAATATTTCAGTTTTGAAGAGCTGGAAAAGTTGTGTGAAGTACTTGTAAGCATTTCACTATTCCAGCCAAACTGGTTCCAGTTAGTGTTACTATATTAAATCCATGGTGAATGTTGCTGGTCTGTGGACGTAAAGTATTACTAGTTCATTCACGGCGCAGTGTTTCTCCTGGTTTTCACGTCAGCACTGTTTGATCTAATAGAGATCTACGGTTAATAACGGAGAAATCTCACTAGATCTCACAGCGATGTTATTACTTCAGTGGCGAATTCAAATGTGCTGTGTAGTAACAGTGTCGCTTGATCGAGATCAGTGCTGGTCCGAACTGATAAACGATCCGTGAAGCACATAATGAGTAGCGCAGTTTCGTTCCGCTTTCATTACGCTTGCCATTTGATGTTGCGCAGCGTTGTGGTGGCCGCGCCAGCGCGAATTTTGTCGGCTGGAAAAAAATATATATAAAATTCTGTCTCTCTCTCATATAAATATCTGTGCGCACTCTAATACTCCGCTCTGTTCGCTCTCTGTCTCCTTCTCCACTCGACACAGTTTGCGTGAAATTGCGTCATATCACTTACTATAATCCCACCCCTTGCACGGCTACAGAGTCCTCTGATTAGCTAAAATATGTCATGGTATCCTTCCTCTGATTGGGTAAGAAAAATATTCCTCCCAGCGGCAATATTTCCATTGGTCTTTGCACGTATGCCATTTTGGGCGGTACCGCCCAATCCGTCCCCAGAGGGTTAAAGTTCCGGCCTCACACCGTCCACCCAATCTTATCTTTTTCACGTGCACCAAAAACATTTTTGAATGAAAAGCTCTCCAGCGAATTATGCAAGCTTCCACAACCACAAAACAAATGCATTCCTCATCAACTGTCTCTGGAGTGATACAGGGATAATCAGGCGGGTCCTTTGATGGCCTCGAACCGTTGTTTACCAGTTCATTGTTAGCATGTTTGTTGTCTCCATCCGAACCAAATCAAGGATGATTGTCAAGAATTTCTCCGAAAAGAAGGGGCAGAAACCACAACAAACACCTTTTTCCATTCCGCATTCCTCGTCCCTGACCCATAAATTTGCTGTAACACCGCAACGCATACTCGAGGCCTCTAATCTTGCTCAGCTATTTACATAACATCACTGTCTGTCCATGTTTTCAGAAGTTTTTTTTTTTTTTTTTTCTCACCAGCAGCTGCACATGTGGAGCGTTTCCCGCCTTTGGTGACTTTGTGATGTTATCAAACATTTCACAGTGGATAATTTGTTCGTTTTTGAGCACGTCAGTCGGTACCTCACTATTTATTCCCCCAAAACCTCTTCACACCAAATGTGAGGCACAAAACAACCCAAAATGGAGCCCCGGACAACATACAAGCGCGAAATTGGCCATTAGCTGCCATCGACTGTAAGTAAGGGATGTCAGGGTTAGAGCTGAATGAGACCAAAATGGCTTTTTACAAAACCATTGGACAGCAATGAGGGTTATAAGATTACATAATAGGCAAATTGCTAATGACCAGGCATTCACAGGGATGCCTGTGTGGGCGAAACTACAGGAATGCATGTTAAGAAACATCGTCCGGCTTTTTAAGGCACCAGAGAGCGAGAACGAAAAGGGCTCAGAGGATGTTTTTTGTGCCGCTGATTGCGAGAAGCTGCCTCATTAGCGATTGTGCAGGACAGTGTATTGTGAGGCACTTCCCAAAATAAACCCCTTTATTTAAGCCAAAGGCCCTTGGCAGGAGCTTCTTGTTAGCTGAGTTTGCGGTTCTCTGGAATCTGACCAGCTAAGGTGAACATTTGATGATGTGGGAACGTTAAGAGAGTATTTCTGCTTCTTTAGAAGAGTTAACGCATAAATCAGCACGATATTGCAAAAGACTCTTTGTGTGACTTCCTCCCATACTTTTTTGATCGGTATTTTTGTTTTTCCAGTACGAAATAAGTAAACATCCTTAAATAAAGGGGTGGTTGATTATGATTTCACTTTTCTAGCTTTAGTTAGTGTGTAATCTGCAAAGCTGCAACGCTCAAAGTTAAAAGCAAAGGGAGATATTTGCTTTGGACTACAACAAACGGCTGATAGGGACTACAGAAGCTTCCTCCTGGGTTAGTGACATCACTAACCCTAAAATTAACATAAACCCTGCCCCCGGAACACGATTTAATAGATTATCAAGACAGAATATGCTAATCAATGACTTGAAGATAATGACACATAAGTTGCAGTACATAATTTCATCAACTAACCATTTAGAAATGTCTTGTTGCTTACATGTTGTCACTTCTTCTTGTGTCTCTCATCATTG